GTAACCTGAAGCGTATGTAACCTGAGGTACCACTGTAGTTCAAATTGGGAAAAATAAAGACAGTAAATGGACAAAAGTACAAAGATCCACAAAATGTTCAGGGGTATGTGTACCCCTGCATCCCTCCAGGAAAAAAGGGCTGATAATAGAAATGATAAATAGCAACACAAAGCACAGAGTCCACTTCAAAAGAATTTGTCACTTGAAATGCGGCTAAAATCCACACTTCGCTGAATTTTGCAATGTAATTCTCCGACAAAAAACTGCATACATTGGGGAAAGGTGTGTGTGTGAAAATGCACATGTTTGTGAAAATAGCACACACACACACACATTTGGGAAAAAATTGTCTGCAAATTAAGTGTCATTGCATACAAAACACTGGCAAAATCCAGCTGGATTTTTTATTTTTTACTAAGCATAGATCTAAGGCAGGCCCGTCCATTCGTTTCAGGGGGTCTACTCATGAGGAGGGCGAACCTCCGATACAACCCAACGTCTCCCTTAAAAGAAACGAGAGCGAAAGCAAGCATACTTCGTATCTGACAGTGATCCGTGTCTGGTTTATGTTGCGCCGATGTACCCAAAACGGCTCTCTGTTGTTAGGTGACAACAGAGATGACAAAGACATTTGACACCCCCCCCAATAATATAAAAAAGGGGGGAAATGACAAGGAGCAATTAGAAGCTGGCAGAGCAAAGGGAACACACAGAGAAAGCAGTTGACTTTTTACATAGATCTCCTAAACCTAAAGGAAAGATGGCAGGATATTTTAAAAAGGAACATCCCACAGACTCGGCTTGTTGTCTCAAAGGCAATGTCTGTTTTGTGAGCAAGTGGTTGGAACATTGGACTCCTTGAAGGCTAGGCTTGGACATGAAGCCCATCAGGTGTCAAGGAAATAAACAACTATCTGACTTTTAGAAGACATCTGAAGGCAGCCCTGTTTAGGGAAGCTTTTAATGTTTGATCTTTTATCGTGTTTTTAATATTCTGTTGAGAACCGCCCAGAGTGGCTGGGGAAACCCAGCCAGATGGGCAAGGTATGATGATGATGATGATGATAGAGGGAGCAAGCTTGTTTCCAGGATCAAACCAATGGATTCCAAACAAGAAAGGAGATCCCGACTGAACATTCTGAAGAACTTTCTGTCGCTGAGAGTCATTCAGCAGCAGAACACACGACCTCGAAAGGTCTCACCTTCCTTGCAGGCTTTTAAGCAGAGGTTGGATGGCCAACTTATTAGGGATTCCGTAGAGAAAAGCAATGACAAACCTAGACAATATCTTAAAAAGCAGAGACATCACCTTGCCAACAAAATTCTATATAGTTCAAGCTATGGTTTTCCCAGCAGTGATGTATGGAAGTGAGAGCTGGACCATAAAGAAGGCTGATCGCCAAAGAATTGATGCTTTTGAATTATGGTGCTGGAGGAGACTCTTGAGAGTCCCATGGGCTGCAAGAAGATCAAACCTCTCCATCCCTAAGGAAATCAGCCCTGAGTGCTCACTGGAAGGACAGATCCTGAAGCTCAGGCTCCAAGACTTTGGCCACCTCAGGAGAAGAGAAGACTTCCTGGAAAAGACCCTGATGTTGGGAAAGATTGAGGGCACAAGGAGAAGGGGACGACGGAGGATGAGATGGTGGGACAGTGTTCTCGAAGCGACCAGCATGAGTTTGAGCAAACTGCGGGAGGCAGTGGAAGACAGGAGTGCCTGGCGTGCTCTGGTCCAGGGGGTCACAAAGAGTCGGACACGACTAAACGACTAAACAACAACAAAGCAGTGATTCTGGACCCGCGGGGCTCCCTTCCAAGTCCATGATTCTGTGACTCAGGTGAAGGAAACTGGTCTGGGCACATTCCAGCTGGGATGCTGAGCTCCCAGGGGCCTGGAAGGGCAAGGGGAGGGTGCAGCTTTGAGCATCACCAAAGGGTCATTGCTCATTGGGAGCCCCCCAAATATTTGATGATTCTTGACGCTCTGCCCTCAGCGAGGGAACATGCCGCCGCCTCGGAGGCCGGTGGTAGGAAGGTGGTGCTTGAGCGTGCACAAGGGGCGATTAATTATTGAATAACCCGCATCCGAAGGATAAGAAAGAAGCTGTATAAATGCATATTATTACGGCGTAATTAGTGCCATACATTTTCCATCTCTCTCTCTCTCTCCCCAAGCCTCTCCCCCCCATCTCTCTCACATGCACAAACAGCCCAATGTGTACAGGAAACCGGGGTGGGTTTTTTTTGGGGGGGGTGTCCAATAATATTTGGATCTGCATAAATCTCCCTCTTCCCTGCTCCGATCCTGTAAGCCCTTTCCATCTTGGTCATCTGCGTGTCTATATTTGTAATCTCTCAACCCATTTCTCATTTCTCTCCCTCTCTCCGTCATATTCATCTTCTCCTTGGCATTTTATAGGCCCTTTTATGAGATTACGTGGCAGAGGCGGTTTTTGACGGGGACTGTGTTTAGGAAGCGGTCGGGCTGAGGTGTGCGAGGGAGGCATTGGCAGAGGCAAAGTGGCTCTTCAAATCCCCATTTCTGGTGGTGTGGACCGGAAAGGAGGCCAAAAAGGGCTCTCAAACCCTCCACCTCTGGTAGCGTGAACAGGAAGATAATTTTTTGCATAGCCAAAGGGCTCTCTAGACGCGGGTGGCGCTGTGGTCTAAACCACTGAGCTTCTTGGGCTTGCTGATCGGAAGGTCGGCGGTTCGAATCCCCACGACGGAGTGAGCTCCCGTTGCTCTGTCCCTGCTTCTCCCAACCTAGCAGTTCGAAAGCACGTCAAAGTGCAAGTAGATAAATAGGTACCACTGCAGCGGGAAGGTAAACGGCGTTTCCATGCGCTCTGGTTTCCGTCACAGTGACCCGTTGAGCCAGAAGCGGTTTAGTCCTGCTGGCCACATGACCCGGGAGGCTGTCTACGGACAAACGCCGGCTCCCTTGGCCTGAAAGCGAGATGAGCGCCACAACCCCATAGTCGCCTTTGACTGGACTTAACCGTCCAGGGGTCTTTTACCTTTATCTTTACCTAGTTCTACATCTCCTGCAGTGCAACCAGGAAGAGAGGCTTTTGCAGAGCCAAAGGGCTCTAATTCCCCCATATTTCTATAATGTGAATAGGGAGCAGGGCTGCCAACTTGAATAAAATATGGGTGGGGCAGGGAATCACATGAAATGGTTCACAAGTACCACTTGAATGGCAATGGCCATCAATTTTTTTGGGGGGGGGTCCAACCCCCACAAATATTTTGTTGGGGGGACAATGACCCCTAGGAGTTGGCACCTAGGACAGGAAGAGCTTTCGAAAGCCAAAGGGTCCGTCATCTCCTGCAGAGTCAAGCAGAAGAAGCCTTTGACTGAGACAAAAGGCTCTTTAATTCCCCCCTGCAGCCAATCAGAAGCCGTGCTCTGGTTTCTGAACGTTTTGGAAGTCGAACGGACTTCCGGAACGGATTCCTCTCGACTTCCGAGGTACGACTGTAGTTCAGGTGATGGAGGGATTCTTTGGGGTCAGACGTGACCCCTTGCCTATACAGTGGTACCTCAGGTTACATACGCTTCAGGTTACAGACTCCGCTAACCCATAAATAGTGCTTCAGGTTAAGAACTTTGCTTCAGGATGAGAACAAAAATTGTGCTACAGTGGTGCGGTAGCAGCAGGAGGCCCCATTAGCTAAAGTGGTGCTTCAGGTGAAGAACAGTTTCAGGTTAAGAACGGACCTCCGGAAACGAATTAAGTACTTAACCTGAGGCACTACTGTATCTGCAACCACAGAATCATAGACCCATCGAATCCTCTAGTTCAACCATTTGCAATGCTTCGGACCCTCCAGCGAAGAAGAGTCCCAATGCTATCCCAATGTATTATTATTATTATTGCTATCATTTCCTTAAACTCCTGAAATAAACGACAAGCCAGTGTACAGCATAAAACACAAAACAGCAACAAAGTCCCTACCTGTAGGCTTACGATCTGCATAAGGAGACACGGGAAAGAAGGCGATAAGAGACATTGTGTGTGTGTTGGGGGGAAACAACCAGTCAGATCAGAGGAGCCTTGGGGAGACGGATCAATCTCAAGACGTTCCTTAGAGAGGTGCAGCATGAAAATATCCGGAGGCAAGGAGTTCCAAAGATAAGGCTCCACAACAGGAAAAGGCATCAAGCGACAAGAAGAGTTTCAGTGTTCCTATCTGCATTTTATTGGGGAAATGTTTCCAGGCTGAGGGCCGTATTTCCTTCTGGAACAGGTTCCGGGGGCCATGTGCCCGTGGTGGGCGGAGCCAGAGGCAAAAGTGGACGGGGCAATGCATGTAACTGTTGTTGTTGTTTAGTTGTTTAGTTGTGTCCGCCTCTTCGTGATCCCCTGGACCAGAGCATGCCAGGCACTCCTGTCTTCCACTGCCTCCCGCAGTTTGGTCAAACTCATGCTGGTCGCTTCGAGAACACTGTCCCACCATCTCGTCCTCCGTCGTCCCCTTCTCCTTGTGCCCTCCATCTTTCCCAACATCAGGGTCTTTTCCAGGGAGTCTTCTCTTCTCATGAGGTGGCCAAAGTCTTGGAGCCTCAGCTTCAGGATCTGTCCTTCCAGTGAGCACTCAGGGCTGATTTCCTTCCGAATGGAGAGGTTTGATCTTCTTGCAGTCCATGGGACTCTCAAGAGTCTCCTCCAGCACCAGAATTCAAAAGCATCCATTCTTCGGCGATCAGCCTTCTTTATGGTCCAGCTCTCACTTCCATACATCCCTACTGGGAAAACCAGAGCTTTAACTATACGGACTTTTGTTGGCAAGGTAGGCTGAAACAAACACGCCCTTCTCTGTATCCCAGGCAGGCAGGCAAGAGGCATAACGGAGCGTAAGGAGACATCCAAGTAGGGCTGGTGAGCGGTGTGGCCTGGAGAGATTCCTGAGGGCCAGAGAGGGAGATATGGAGGGCCACATTCAGCCCCTGGGCTTGCGGCTCCTCTTTTCAGCTATGAAGGAAACACCCTCATGTATAGCTCAGTCGGCAGAACATGAGACTCTTAATCTCAGGGCTGTGGGTTCAAGCCCAGCGTGAGGCAAAAGAAAGGAGATAGAAGACTTTGAGGAAGGGGAAACGTGGTGGTTGAGGTCAAGGCGGCCGCCACTCTGCCACTGCCATCGCTGCAGCATCAACGTCCCAAACGTGTAGTATGTATGTATGTAATTAAAGCAACGACAAACCTGGACAGCATCTTAAAAAGCAGAGACATCACCTTGCCAAGAAATACCAGTCACTGGGAATCACAAGTGCAGAGGCAAAGATTTATTTTTTAAACCCAGCCTACCTTTAGGGCAGGTTGTGCAAATGACTGGAAGATGATACACCCTTGGGGAAAGCATTGCGAGAAAATTTGTTTTAATTCATTAATTTAACACACTAGGTGGTGGGTGGGCAGGGTTTCTCGCGGGGGGGGGAGCAGTAGGAGCTGAAAGGCAATGGGTTAATCCAATGTTAGGTCTACTCACTGGAGTTAAAGAACATGATTTGCCAAGATTCATTCATCCCAGTGGGTCTACTCTTGAGTCGAATTTTGCTGGAAAACCCACAAGAATCCTCTCCTGCCAGTTTTGGCCAACCTATTTTCTTTTACCGTCCTCAGTCTTCCCATCTGCATTATGGGGACAATGATGCCTCACAGGGTTGTTGTGAGGAAGAGCCACGCTCCGAGGGATTTTAGAATGCCCTTAGGAGAGGAATAGAGGGTTGCATCTTTACTTAACATTTCTAGGAGCTGGTGAGAACCAGCTTAAAGCCACTGCCTCCAGTAGACCTGAAGGAGCGTCTCCACCCCCATCGTTCTGCCCGGACACTGAGGTCCAGCTCCGAGGGCCTTCTGGCGGTTCCCTCACTGCGAGAGGCCAAGTTACAGGGAACCAGGCAGAGGGCCTTCTCGGTAGTGGCGCCTGCCCTGTGGAACGCCCTCCCATCAGATGTCAAAGCGATAAACAACTACCTGACATTCAGAAGACATCTGAAGGCAGCCCTGTTCAGGGAAGTTTTTAATATGTGACATTTTAGTGTATTTTTCATCTTTGTTGGAAGCCGCCCAGAGTGGCTGGGGAAACCCAGCCAGATGGGCGGGGTACAAATAATAAATTATTATTATATTATATTATTATTGTGTGTGTGTGCAAAGCTTTGTGGTAATTTTAACCAAAGAGGGGTCAAAATATAAAACGGAAAGTGGATTTGAGAAAAGTCACTACCCAAGGAATAAACGCAGCTGGGCTTACTTCTGAGTAGACGTGCAATGGATTTGCACTGCAAAAGTAAGTGTCGCTTCTGCTGTGCAAATCTGCCGCACGCCCACCGGAAAACGAGCCCCGGTTGATCTCCCATTTTATAAATTGCAAATCCGCAAATTGCAAACTGGCCTTTACCGCTCAGTGTTCGCTCGTTACCGTTTCGGCCTCGTTTTTCAGATTTGTTTGCGGGCTTTGTTGTTCTTAGCTGATTTTTTAAATTATCTTGCTTGCAAACCAACCTCGGAAGGCGGTTGATAAACCAGTGGCGATAATAAACAAATAAGTAAACAAGCATCGACAGCAGCAGCAGCAGCAACAACAGTGGGCTTGCAGCCACTGAAGTCCTCAAGTAGAACACTAGATTTTCAGTGGGTCTACTCTGAGTAGGGAAAGCTAGCTGGCCAATATAATCATAATCTGCAAACAGGTTGAAGACCCCCCCTCCTTATAAAACAAGAACCCCCCTTTTCTCCGCCACCCATTAGCATCGAGTCTTATTTGGGGGGGGGACAGACCCCCACTTTAAAGAAAGCTTTGGATTTCTGGGTTGCACCTGAAAGAGAAAAATCTCTTTCCAGCTGCTGCGTTGACTTCTTGCAAAGATTTTTTTTTTTAAATGACCCCCCCCTCCTCCTCCATTTCCACGCTCTTTCCTTCTGGGGCTCCCCCCCCCCCACTCTCATTCTCCTTCCTCTCTCTCTCCCTCCTCAACAGAGCTGAAATTGACTTTAAAAAAATAAAAAATCTCCAGGAAAAAGGAGACCCACATGGCTTTGGTGGGGGGTGTGGCTCAGCGTCACCGGCCAACCAACCTTGAGACTTGGGGGCCCCGCCCCTGTTGAGTGCTGGGGGGGGGGGGAGACATTGCTGGGGAAAGGGGGAGAGAGAGAGAAAGAGAAGGAGGGAGGGAGGAGGGATGTGGTTACTTTAGGCTGACCGGCCAAGTGGTTACAATGTTTCTGTATCAAGAGTAGAAGGGGGGGGGGGGCAGAAAGGAAGCCAGGTCTCTCGCTCTCTTTTCTTTTTTTTTTTGCAAAAGGAAAAAAAAAAAGGCATTGAAGGCAAAAAAGAAAGGGGGATTAAAATAAAGCAGAAAGAGAGAGAGAGAGAGAGAGAGAGTGTGCAGCGGTAAGGCTTAAAAGAATCCACAGAGGAGGGGGAAGAGAACCTTTTAAAAAAAATTATACACAGAGGGGTTTTTTTTGTTTTTGTTTTTGGTGCCACCAGGAAAATAACAAAACCTCAAGGTGGGGGCAAGCATGTTTTATTCAGGAAATAAAATGATGAAATGCATGCATTGAAAATGAAAATGAAATCTTGCAAATTGTGTGTGTGTGTGTGTGTGTGTTGGGAGGGGGAGGCATTTGGTGTAGTATTTAATTTTTTTTTTGCATTTTTGGAGGTGGGGGGATGAGGGAGAGGAGGGGGAGGTGTTCTTTGAAGGCCTCCCCACCCCAACTTGCAATCTTAATGCCCCCCCTTTTTTCCCCTTCTTACCAGTTGCAAGGAAAGCTTAGGTGGCACAATAAAAAAGGGGGGGTGGTTGAGTGAAAAGGGGAAGGAAAGTAAGATTACTCCCCCCCTTTTTCTCTTTTCTTTTCATTCTTTCCTTTCTCATGAGAGAGAGAGAGCGCGAGCAAGATTTCACTTCGTGCTTTTCGCAAGGGGACGAACCACTCCCTGTCCCCCTCACTGCAAAACTTTGTATTATTTATATCTTCCTTCCTTCCTTCTTCCATTTCTTCAGGAAAAGACAACACGGGGGTCCCATCTATTACAAACAGAAGCAGAAGACTCACAAGGCATCTTTTCTCTGCTTTGAAAAAAAGAAACAACCCAAACCCGGGAGCAAGTTTTGAGTCCTCGTTCTTTGGTGGGGGGGGGTGATTCCTTTTTCCTTTCCTTTCTTTCTGCAAGAAATTCATCTCATCTTTTTCAGGCAACCGGTTGCAAATTGCAGAAGGAAAGCCCTCGACAAGGTTTTTATTTCATTTCAATTTTTTAAAACTTCTTTTTGGAAACCAGGAATTTGTTTGAATCCAAAGTTGTCGGTTGGTGGCCTTTTTATTTATTTTTTTCAAATGATATGCTAGGATTAGCAGCTCTCCAGAGGTGAGCAAGCACCTCAAAATTTGCTTGCTGACTCCACAGCAATTTCCCCCCTCTCTCTTCCCCACCCTCTGCAAGAGTGGGGAGATTCTGGGTCAGTTGTACGACATGCCGAGGTTCCCTGCTATAACCTCTCAGCCGCCGCCTGCTTCCTCCAGTATTTTTGAGCCCAAGTTATTCAGTTTCTTAGAGATGGACCCTCTCTCCTCCCTGCTCCATTTATGAAGAGTTTGAAAGAGCTGGAAGTAACTCAGACCCCGGGACCCGAAAGTTGCGGTGATGTCTTCTTAGGGAGTGTGGGAAGACCCACGCCACACCCTATGTGTTCCTAGATAACACACATCTCTTGTCTATCTATTAAGAAGGCTTCTGTTGCAAAAGCAAATTCTGATCGCCCCCACCACCACCATCAATGCGCTGATTTGCAGTGTATTTTGGCTACCAGGACGCTTGCCTATACCCGCCACCTTTCACGAGAAAAGAAGGACCATTCTGCCAGCGAGAGCTATTGGGATTCTCCACCATGGAATGAATTAGGGATGTGCGTGCGATAGTTTGCACCGAGAGAGAGAGAAGTGAAAGGAGGAGGAGGAGAGACACAGGAAAAAGTCTGGACTGTCCAGGGGAGACCTAACCTCCCCGAAAAAACGCACCGAAAGAGCTATCCGCCAGAAAGCGCGCGTGCAAAGTGCAATGACCTGGTGGCCTTTTTCCTAAACGCACACCCACACAAAAATTCCCCGCAGCTTTTCGTGGAACAAAAGAAAGAAGGGGAGAAGAGGTGGAAGAAAGTGGAGGAGAAGGGGGGTTACGATGCCGAATTTGGAGGTAGCTGCGCTGCTGGTGGCCCTGGTTGGGGTTTGCGTGTGGACGGACGACAGCAGCAAAATTATCTCAGATCGTTATGCGGTGTACTGGAACAAAAGCAATCCCAGGTAGGATGGAGGGGGGAGCCAGGAGGAGACCCCCCCCCCGTCTTATTGCATGTTTTAGACCTCGGGGACTGTTGCCCTCTCAGCTTTTGGGTGTCTATGTTTTGGGTGGTGGCGGCTGTTGCCCCAAAGGGATGATGTACACAAGGCACTGTTATAGTCCGTTCATTATTATTATTATTATTTCCATATATTTTTGCGTTGGAAGATTTGGGAGGAATGGTGAAACTTCTTTTTAGAAGGGAAAAATAAATAAATCTCACAGGCTGATACTTGGGGAATCTTCTCATCCTACTCAAATGAGCCTTTCTTGCGGACTTGCCTGAAAATTATTATTATGTAAAAGGAAGCCCAGTCTTGCCAGTGATGTCACTGTTGGAAGGGGGAAAGGTTTTTAAAAGTGTGGGGTTTTTTTTTTAAATTATTATCCTGTCTGTCTGTCTGTCATTCAAAGTCATGGCCAGGGAAACCAGGGTTTTCACACACGGCCTGGAGGAAGTTTGCCCCACCAGTGTCTCTCTATGTGGTAAATAATTCCAGAGAAATCAGACGAAGGTCTCGAAAGCAAAACTTCCAGGCAGAAAAGGGTTGCTATATCTCTGTGTGAGATGCCCTTCTTTTTAAACTCCCACCACGCTCCTGTGTACTGAATTGCATCTAGGTTGTCGAGACAAACTCACGTTCAGACACAACTTCTGGGTTTGCACCCAATCTGAAGTCCTGCTCAGAACATACCCATTTAACTTCATGGA